CTCTGGTCTCAGGAGGAGCTTCCAGATAACCTATGAACACCCAGAATGCTTGGCTTCCTAGGGCACTGTCCTCCCAATAATGGTCAGGAAGGAGCAGCTGGTGACTCAGGGCCTCTGCTTGGTTAAGGAAGGACCTGCCACATTCTGCTCACCAAACCTCTGTGGCTCCTGCCAGTCCACAATATGAAAACTTAAACTCTGACAGAGCAAGTCAGGACTCTCTGTGTAATGGAAAGCTACATACTGTGCCCCATAATAAACATGGAATAGGGCTGCCATGGGCCAGTCTTGTGTGTCACAGTGCCAGGGAAGAGACAGCAGCGCTGATGCGAGAAGATGGAACAGGATAGGGGGTGGGAAGGGGTGGGAACATGCCCGTTGGGTGATCCAAAATGTCCCTGGAGCATGGGACACTGTAGGGGAGCCCTGGGTAGTAGAATCTACTGGAAGGGACTAAAGAGGAGAGCCGCAGTTCATAAACCCATGGCAGGAGTGCAGGACTGCAGCCCTGGGGGCAAAAACTGTGACTAAGGTGTGTAGGGACCACCCTGACACGGTGATGGTGCGCCTATCTGAGCGAGCCCAAGAGTGCATCCTAGCCGCTTTTGCTGTTCCTCCTGCGACTTCTCAGTGTCGAGGCTGCAGCCCTGCTCCTGCAGACAGCCCCAGGCTCAGCCCCCTGTGTCTACCAAGCTTGGGAGCCCTCAGGCTAGCTGCTGCTTCTGAGTCCTGCAGGTGGCCAAAGAGGGCAGGACCTCGCATACCCTGGCTGCCAGAACACCCAAGGCAGCCCACAGGCTATGAAGGTCACATTATCCACGGAGTCAGGCCACCATTCCTGAGGACAACAGCACAGACAGACAGCAGTGATGGCAGCTAGCAGCTCGGAAAGAATGCAGAGGAAGGCCACTCTGGGCTTGGATGCTTTGAGGCCTTGTTAATCCCTGCAGGGACAAAGGAGAGTGAGGAGGCAGGTGAGAGGAAGAGCGGGCTGAGGAAAGAGCGGTAGAAAGGATGGTGAACAAGACAGAGGTTAGAAAGGGACAGAGCTCCAAAAAGAGAGAGAGGAGCTACTGAGAAGAGGGTGCCGCCTGAGGGCTGGGTACTGTGTGAGGGAACAGAGGACCCGGCTGCAGTCACAAGTACCAGGCCGTGGATGAGAGCGCATCAGGCCATTGACAAGTCTGCACCCAGCATGTGCTGTCCACCTGGTGCCTGCCCCTTAAGTGGTCTGATGGTGTGCATGGGGCAAACAAAGCTTTTGTTGTTGTGGTTGCTTTTGTTTGAGACAGTGTTTCTCTCTATGACAGCCCTAGCTGTCCTGGAACTAGCCCCATAGTCTGGCCTCGAACTCACAGACATCCGCCCGTCTCTGCCTCCCGAATGCCGGGATTAAAGGCGTGCGCCACCACCGCCCGGCAGCAAACAGATCTTGAACAGTCATGATGGACAACAGAATACCAAGCACGGCTGAAAACAGTGCTGACATAAGGCGGTCCCTCTAACCCTAGATTGGGGAGTGTTCCTACCAGCAGAGACCATGCTCCGGTAGGAAGTCAGGGCAGAGGAGCAGCAGCAGGGGATGGCTGTAAGGGATACTCCACCATCCTGGCCTCTCTGGCATGTGGTGCTGGGATCTGACTGGACCACGCAGTGCAGGTGACTTGAGAGCTGAAGCATGGACAGATGGGTAGAAGAAGCCCCTGGTCCCTGCAGCTTCTTGTGGAAAGCCCAGCAGGGTGTGGAGGGCGAGGGGCCAGGGCTTTCTCCTCCCTCCTACTCTGTCTTGCCCTCCTGCCTGGGACCTGCCTGACCCCAACCATTGGCTCCTAGAGCTGGCCCTTAGGGGCGCTGGCTGACTGAGGGCAGAGATGGCGGCTATGCCGGCAGAGGAGGCGGCCCTGAATTAATCTGTCACTAAGACTTGGCCATGGCAGGCACAGTCATGATTTAGATGAATAATTGAAACGCTCTGATACATTTATTATCCCTTTAGTGCAAAAGTGGCAGAGAAAGACGAGGGGTAATTGAAAAAGAACGCACAAATCTCCCCGAGAAAGCCGGCTCCTCATCACCAAGCAAACATCTCAGAGCTAATAAACAGTTGGGGCACTTGGGCCTTGTTGATCCCCATCCTGATTTAGGACCCGCCTCCCTCCTCACCATACAATAGGAGAGTGTTTGAGACATTCTTTATTGAGCCAATAACTGGCTTTCCACAGGGTGGTAAGGCAGAGGCCTTGGTCACCAGCTTCTCCAGGAGACTAGCACTGCCCTAGGCATAGGGTCGTCTTCCCTGGTCTCTCTCCATCCTGCTAGCCTGTTAAAGTCCTCTTCAACTTTCAAGGCCCAAGTCCAGCATCCCTGGCTTGAGAAGCCTACTTCTAAATTGAGTCACTTGATGTCAGAGCAAAGTCCAGAGTCCCAGCAGACAATAGGTACCCACAGCTCTACTGTCTGTCCCTCGGCCCTGGGGCAGACACATACACACGTGGAGAGCCGAGTGTCTGCAGAAGCCACAGTGAGTGTCCTGGGCCCTGACCCTCACAGGGAACACATTCTGGTGGCAGAGGGAGTAGAACACAGTAAGGTACAGACATGTTCCCAGGGCCCAGAGCTAGGGACAAAAGTCGTGCAGCAGGATGCTTGGCAGGGTGTCTCCTAGCCTGTGGCTGATCCTGGGTCATCATGAGCAAAGGACAGATGGGGGCAGGTAGAGACCTGAGTCCTTCCAGGAGGAGGAACTTCAGGCCCCCACGGGAGGTTCTAGAGTCTTCCTAGTGTCAGGGCTCATGATGGTGTAACAGATGTGTTGTACTTGAAGGAGAGGGGGCATGTCCAGGTACATGGCTCAGTCCATTTCAACTTCAGATGCCAGGCCCCACCAGTCCCGCTTCCTCCCTCCACAGCCCTGCACCTCCACCTGTTCCAAGCTTATTAGCAGAGTGACAGCCCCGGCTGCAGAGGCTCCATAAATCTTGGATGCATTGTGATGAAAGGCCGTGCTCCAGACCTGTTTCCTTCAGGGTCACTGCCCACCCATCTTCTCATCAGTGGGCCTCCCTGCACCCCTGAGACTGAAAAGGGAGCCAGAGCACCCCACGGTCTAGGACCGGCACTAGGATGGCACAAGCCATCCCTGTGCCCAGCCTGCTTCTGCAGGCTACCCTCGGGGAGAGCCCCTCCTTCACGGGGAAGGCTGCCCAGACAGACCCACATCCCGTGACTCTAGCGTCAGGGCCAGGGTAGAAGGCTGCTAGCTGAGCCGTAGTCAGGGTGGGCCCGCTGAGGAAATGGCACTCAGCTAAAGGCTTGTGAGAGGGAAGAGAGCAGATACTTGGTATCCTCAGGAAAAGCACTCCCTGTGGAAGGAGCGGTCGGTACAGAGGTCCCCAAGGCAAGCGTGTACTGGTCCTGTCCAAAGCCCCGAGGTAGGAGTGTGGCTCCTGCATGGCAGGGAAGGCCTAGAGTGTAGAAGGGAGTCTGAGAGGTGGCTGGGGCCATAGCTGCGATTCTGGAGGACGTGAGGGTTGTGAGCAGGACAAGCGTGATGAGCTGACAGGCCCACATGTTTTCCTCATCTTTTACCTTCCCCAGGGGGACTGCCAAAACTCCAGCTTCCCCAAGGCTTCCCACACTCCTGTGGCTTCTTCGGCCTCCTGGCTGGAATCTGAAGCCTCTGATCAGCCGAGGTTCCTCAATGCCCTCTGTCCTTCATCTTTAGATCTTGACCTACCTGTTTCCTCTACCCATCTCTCCTGACCAGTGTAGGCCCTATCTTCCTTCCCAAAATCCCTCTGATGCCCAAGCTAAGCAGGTGTTTCTGGCTGACCTTGATGAGCCTAGGACCCCCCCCCCCCCAACTACCCTGTCATGGCTGGCACTCTCCTATACCCGGAGCTTAGATGGGCAGACATTGAGCCTGACTCCCAAGCAAGATCTGTCAGAGTCCAGTTCACAGTCCTGTCGGCCATAGGTGCTGAATACTGGATGGTGAGCAAATGGGTGCGGGATGGGTGCTGTGGGTGGGACATTGTGGATGGGGCATGGTGTCACCAACCATGGAGGACACTGGTCCTCTCAAAGGGCAGGCTTGGGAAGAGGTTCCCAAAATCCTACCCATGGGCACTCAGTCGCCATCCTGGGAAGCAGTGACCTCCACGGGGACAGCTGGAGGAGAGTCGGAAGGGAGGAAAAGCATCTCCAGCCACAAACAGCCCCCTGCATCCTGGCTGGTCACCGACAGCTCTTAGCGCTGTGCTTATTTATTCCCGACCTTCGCTGCCCCTTTTATTTTTCCCCCTTTTAAAACCTGGCCTGGGCCCCGCCACCGCTGCCGTAAACACGGCCCCCGGGATTTATCCGACGGCGCATTAACCCCTGGCCCCTGGCTCACCAATCATCCTGCCGCTGCGCAGACAGCGGCTGCCCAGCAGCTGGGGGCTGAGGTGCTGGTGGGTGGTGGGAGACCGGTCGAGGTGGATGTGGGCCCACGGGGATGCCCCTCTAGAGGTACCTGCTGCACTGGCCTGCGTGCCTGATGGGTAGGTCACCCTGTTCTCCGTGAGAGTGGCTTCAGCGTCATGATGGATGTTACAACGGCACACGGGGTGTCTTCTGCATCCCCTGTCACTCACCCATTCCCCACCTGGTGTTTCAAAGCTTGCCCTATGCAGGCCTGAGATACCTGAGATACTGCCTGGCAGGGATACCTGGGAGTTTTCAGTGCAGAAATGGGTAATTTGCAGAGATAGTAACTGAAGACAATTAGCAAGGAGCTTCCAAAGGCCAAGCTGGTGTCAGGCAGAATGAGACTTTGTCTACCATCCCACAGCCCCCCATTACAAGCCAGGAGGCTTGAGTTCAGATGGCGCCCTCCCCAACAAAATAGCCAGGCCTCCAGCTTTATCAGTGGGCACAGCAGAGTCCTGAAGAATGAAACAGGAGACACATTCCCCACCCCCACCCTTGTCCCAGACTCAGAAGTTCTGTGTACTTACCCCCTCCACCTCCGAGCAGGGAGTTGTTGGCTGCAAGACAGAGAGAGACAAAAGCAGGTAAGTATGAGAGGGCTTGAGGAAGGAGCTGTTTGGGGCAGAGGGACAATCAGGTAGACTGGGTCCTGAGACTCTGGACATAGTGGTTCCCAGCCCTTTGGGCGAGAGCCAATGATGGGGGTTTGGGGAGTTCCCAAAAGACCTGGGCTTGTAGGGGGACCAGGAAGTGGGGGCACAGGAAGGCCACCAAGGCCTCCTGATGACCCAGAAGTAGCAGTACACAGGGTTAAGGCATGGATCTTCAGGTCAGAGCACAGCTAGCACGAGTCAGTTCTCTCTTTCCAGTGTGGATCCCAGGATCCAGTTCAAGTTGTCAGGCTTAACAGCAAATGCCTTTACTCACTGAGCCATCTTGATGCCTCACCCCTTAAAGACAGTTCCCTGTATTTCAAACAGGCTTCAACTTTCACTATGTAGCAAAGGATGGTTTGCGGTTCGGATCCTCCTGCTTCCACCTGCCATGCCGGGGTGCCCTGCGTCCCGCCGTAGCTGGGGTGCCCTGCGTCCTGCCATTCCGGGGTGCCCTGCATCCCGCCGTGGCTGGGGTGCCCTGCGTCCTGCCATGCCGGGGTGCCCTGCGTCCCGCCGTAGCTGGGGTGCCCTGCGTCCTGCCATGCCGGGGTGCCCTGCGTCCCGCCGAGGCCAGGGTGCCCTGTTTCCTGCCGTGCCGGGGTGCCCTGTGTTCTGCTTGTTCTCTTTTGCCCCACACTGTTTCCCAAGGCCCAGCAGTGCCCAGCCCTCAGCACAGGTTTGCAGAGGCCAGGGCTGTTGTGGAATATTATTTTATTGTGGCAAAGGCGTGCCACATTTGTTTCACTTGCCTGCCTGAGGACCCTGATTGGTCTAATAAAAAGCTGAATGACCAATAGCTGAATGGCAGGAGAAAGGATAGATGGGGCGGGCAGACAAAATAGAACTCTAGGCTCTAAAAGGAGGAGGAGGAACAAGAAAAGACAGAGGAAGACGGAGGAGAGAACAAGGACACACCCAGGGCAGGACACCAACCAAATGACAGCCAGACACAGAGAAGCAGTGAACGTAAGATCTACAGAGAAAAAAAAAAGGTAAAAAGTCCAGAGGCAAAGGTAAATAAAGAGAAATGGGTTAATTTAAGTTAAAAGAGCTAGCCAGAAACATGCCTAAGACAGGCCAAGTGTTCAAAACTAGCCTCTGTGTCATGACTTGGGAGCTGGTTGGTGTCCCAAAAGAAAAAGCCTGGTACACAGGACAGCATGGTCCTTACCCTCATGACCCACAAGCTGCCTAGGAACACACATGGAAGCCATGAAGAAACAGCACATGGGACATGGTAGTGCCACACCTTTAACCCCAGTCCTTGGGAGGCAAAGGCAGATGGGTCTCTGTGAGTCTGAGGTCAGCCTGGTCTACACAGGGAGTTCTAAGATAGAGAGGACTATGTAGAGAGACTGACCCTGTCTTAAGAAACAAGAGGGCAGGGTTACGTGCTGCTGGGGAGTTAGCAGGAGGCCAGCAGCTAGGGAGCACCTGAGAGAGGAGAGCCACAGCCATGCTGTGGGCCATGTCAGAGGCCTGAGACCAGCCAGCACCTGGAGGGTGGTGACACCTGATTCCAGACCTCCCCAGCTCATAGGGCTGGGGTGAAGGTCACGAGAAAGGAGTCAGTTCTGGCCTTGCTATAGGAGGGTTCCCTACTAACTGCCTGTCCTGGAGGGGACCCCCTCAGGTAGAGAGCATGGGCCTGACTGCCATCATGGCTGCCACTTTCCATATAAGCCATACCCATCTTGCTCTGCCCAGCTGGCTGCCACTCCTGTCTTACCATGTGGCTGGCGTATAGGTAAGGGAGATTGGCAGCCCGCTGCCAGAATGCCAGGGCTGTGCCAGTCAGTGCCCTTTTGGCCACAAGGCCTGCATCCATAAAGTCCTAGTGCCAACTAGACAAAGAGCTAGGGGAGGCCTCTGGTTGCTGCCCAGGGGACTTGGGGAGCAGGCGCCTGACTTGCAGGCTGGGCCTTCAGCTCCTTGCAGGGCTGAATCGTACCCCAACTTCCAGGGCTTTCTGCTTTAGGGTTAGGAGCCAGACTGTGGCCCAGGGCTTTGTGCAGGAACTATGGACGCTGTTAAGTGGTGTTGGGGTGGCTCGCAGTGGCTGCTCTCCCAGACCTGACAGCTTGTCGCTTGGGGAATAATTAATTCCACAGCCTGAAAACCCGGGGCTGCAAGTTGCCACGTTACTTTGGAGATTAATACAAGCAGCTAATTAAGATGGAGAAGCGAGGCGCTGCCGGGCGCTCCTAGAACCAAACGGGGACCATGGGGACGGCGAAGGAACCAGCTGAGCATGGAGGCGAGGTAGCTGGAGAGCAGAGAGCTAAGGGCAAGAGCTGAGGTCAGCCACCAAAGGGACTCAGGAGGAAGGGGCAGGCTGCAGAGGTCCCATTCTGGTTCCCAGAAGCCCTCCGGGACATGGTTCGATGGAAGGAGCCGATCCTTAGCAAGAGACAGGCTGCCGATTTCTCAAATGACCCCACTTAGCATCACAGCAGAGCCACCAGGGAGAGGCTCCTGCTCCCATTTTACAGAGAAGGGAACTGAGTTCAGAGAGCAGAGAGAGAGAGAGACTGGGGCTGGGGCAGGGTGGGAGCTGGGGTTAGAACTCATTTCTAGGGCTCGTGCGTGCAGGAAGCCCTGAGTCGGATCTCCTGCCCTGGATATACCCGATGCAGTAGCTGCTGCCTGTTCTCACCCTGAGAGGTGGAGGCAGGAGGATCAGAAGGTCAAGGTCATCTACTACAGAAGGCAACCCGGGCTACAGGAGACCTTGGCTCAAAAATCAATAAAAGCTAAATCTGGGTCTCTCTGAACTCTAAGGCAGGCCACCAAGAGGGGTGGTTATGTGACCTCTACCCCCGACCCCCGGTCATGCCTACTTTCTCAAAGACAGAGGAGCACTCTGGAGGCTCCATTTCCTCAGCCTCAATCGCTCCATGCCCAGCAGGCTTGGCTGCAAATGTGAGGGGTGGTGCCCCTGGTAGTCCAGTGGAGCACAAGGCGCCTCAGGCCCGACTCCAGCCCCCTGAGCCCCTGGGGCAGCGCTGGCGGTTGTCGGAGGCTGCCCTCCACGGCCCTTCCCACCTCCCCCCATCACCTCTCTCTTAATTAACACCGGCTGCAAACAAGCTGGCTCCTGCTCAAAGAGGGCACAGTGCCAAATGGGTTGGCAGGGAGCCTTGCTGGGGCAGGAGAGGAGGACGCAGGAGACCCCAGGCAGAGAGAATGTCAACCCCACCTGCCTGGCTCTCCAAACCCCCATTCTGTGTGGTCTCGTCCCTGGGGAGAGGCAAATGGGAAGAATGACTGATGTCCACCCAGCCAGGGTACAAGAGAGGAGTGTTGAAAGGGTAGGTGAAGCCTGGGTACCTTCTTAGCCTGGGCAGAGGATCTGTGATCAGCTGACCTACCGTAAAAGCTAGCTTTTTTTTTTTTTTTTTTGGTTCGTTTCTGTTTATCTCTTTGTATCACATAGCCCAGGCTGGCCACAAATTTACTATATAGTTAAAGATGACTTTTGAATCCTCTTGTCTGTAGTTCGGGGATTACGCTTAGAATATTCCATGCTAGAGGAGGAACCCAGGGCTTTGTGCATGTCAGGGAGCATTTTGCCAACTTGAATGACACCCTTAGACCTTTGTTTCTTAGATAAATGGGATCTCATAATGCTGTCCAGTCTGCCAGAACTCTGATCTCAGGCAATCCTGCTTCAGACACCTGACAGTTGGGAATACAGGCGCATACCACAATATCCAACTTTTACTTTATTTATTTGTTTGATTATTTATTTTGTGTAGACCTGACTGTCCTGGAACTCACTCTGTAGCCCAGGCTGGCCTCAAACTCAGAGATCTGCCTGCCTCTGCCTCCCAAGCATGCCCAGCCTAAGCATTCAGGGTCTTTGAAGTGCAGGAGGGGCCGAGGCTGATCCCAGCTCTGGTGGCATGTAAGCCCTGGCTCAGAGGGTACAGTCTCAGGCCAGTGTATACACACTAGGTTGTGAGAACAAGCCTGGTCCTCTGCATGCCCTGGAGTGTTCTCATCAGCAACACAGCAGGTGAGACGCACCCTCACCGTGGACAGGTGTGACTTCACCACACGCCACTGGACTTAACCAACTGGCTTTCGGCCCTGCGACCGTGAAGTGCCCCCTCAGGTCCTCCGACCACCGAAAGCTGAGATTTGGGGGTGCCTCACTCCAGGCCTCCCAGGTGTTCTCTGCAGGTTCAGTCTCTGTCTTGCTTGCCACTCCTGCCCCCCCAGCTCGTGCTCTGACACCTCCCTTCTACCTTCTCAGGCCCTGGCCCCTACTCTGTGCCATCCCTAGGGTGGCAGAATAGGGACTCCCCAGTTTGTGCCCGGCTCTTGGCCTAGTTAAGTACTGGCAGGTGGCCACTGCCCAATGAGAGGGAGAGGGCCAGCCCCCAGGGTTTGGCCACTAAAGATCAGAGGACAAAGGCAACATCCTACTTTGCTCAGCTTTCTACAAGGAACTGTTTGTTTAGAGGTGCTCACGTAGCCCAGGCTAGCCTTGAACTCATGTGTAGAATGACCTTGAATTCTTGACCCTCCTGCCTCAGGATCCTGGGCACTTGGATTATAGGCAAAGAGCCACCATGTCTAGCTTTAGGAAATGTTTTTAAAATGTTATAATATTAATATATTTCTGTGGAAAAGTCACATTTTAAAATTAAAAAATATTTTGATTTTTTTTTTTTGTTTGTTTGTTTCTCTGTGGTTTTGGAGCCTGTCCTGGAATTAGCTCTTGTAGACCAGGCTGGTCTCTAACTCACAGAGATCCGCCTACCTCTGCCTCCCAAGTGCTGGGATTATAGGCGTGCGCCACCACCGCCCAGCATATTTTGATGTTTTTATGTGTGGTGTATTTTGCTTGCGTTTTAACAAACAAAACAAAGCTTGCCTGAAGATCAGAGAAGCCG